TCCATCCAGCCCTCCACCCCCCCCACCATCCAGCCCCCCGGCATCCAGCTACCCGCCTCCACCAAGCCCCACTCCTCCACCTCCCCTGCATCCAGCCCGCACCCCTCCATCCAGCCCAGCCCCACCCTCCATCCACCACCTCCATCCAGCCCGCCACCCCTCCATCCCCTCCACCCATCCAAACCCTGCCAAGTCCATCCAACGGCCCTCCATCCAAGCACCCGATACGCGACATCCGCGCAAACCATCCCTCCATCCAGCCGCCCTCCATCCAGCCACTTCCCTCCATAGCTCCATCCATCCAGCAGGCCCAGACTCCATCCACCCCGCCAGCCGCTCCATCCAGCCAACCTTCCTCCATCCTGTCTAGAAGCTCCATCCACCAACTGCCACCATCCACCATCGCCCTCCATCCACCCCCGCTCCATCCAGCCCCTCCCTCCATCCATTCCCAGCAAGCAGCCCCTACATAGCCCCTCCATCCACCCATCTACCCAGCCTCCATCAACCCTCCATCCACACCACACCAATAACTCCATCCGCCCCACTCCGTCCACCCCCCTCTCCACCCACACCCCTTCCACCCAGCTCCTCTCCATCCACACCTCCCTCTCCTCCACAACCCCTCCATCCACACCCGTGATTCCATCCACGCCCTCCCATCCATCCACCCTCCATCCACTCACCTCCATCCAGCCCTCTCCCCATCCCCACCCCTCAGCTCCATCCAGCCCCCCTCCACCCGCACCCCTTCCATCCAACCAGCGCTCACCGAGGAAGTTCTTCTTCGCGGCCTGCCAGGTTCGGGTGTAAGGGGGCCTTGGGGGTTTACGGGTTTGGGGTTTGGGTGAGGCCTCCGGGGTTTTAGGGGCTTATCTCCAGCACCCTGCTTATTCTAGTTACAACACAAAGTTGCGTGGTATTGTTATTTTTTGGCACTACTTCCCTGCAGCAACGGGTAATGAGCGTGCCTGCTGCCTTCCTCAAAGTGGGTTCTCGGGGCTTAGGGAGTTTAGGGCCTTAGGGGTTTAAAGTTTGGGTTAGGGTGTAGGGTTTTAGGGCTGCGGCTGCTGGCGCCAGCCTTGCCCTCCAGCACCCTACTCATTCCAAGCAGAAAACAAAGTTGCCTGGTATTGTTATTTCTTGTCATTACTTCCCTGCAGGAACGGGTAATAAGCGTGCCTGCTGCCTACAGCCTAAACCCAACATCTTAAACAACACCCGCAGTGCCGCCTTTTGGCCTAAAAGGGGCTTATAGGGATTGTGTAGGGTATAGGGTTCAGGGTTTAGGGTTGGGAGTTTCTCAAAAAGGGGGTTTTAGGGACCCCAAGAATTGTAGAGGGATTATAAGGGGATTATATAAGGCTCCTTAAGGGATTATATAGGGGTTATATTATATTGAGAAATACCCAAATTCTCTGTTAGGACGCTAATAGAGTAGATTAAGGGGGCCTTCAGGGTTTCTAAGCCCTAAACCTGCCCATCCTGTTAGCACGTCGCTCAGCCTAAACCCCTAAACCCCTGAACCCCTAAACCCCTAAACCCTAAACCCCTAAACCCTATAGACCCTAAACCCTAAACCCCTAAACCCTATAGAGCCTAAACCCTAAAACCCTAAACCCTATAGACCCTAAACCCCTAAACCCCTAAACCCTAAACCCCTCAACCCCTAACCCCTAAACCCCAAAGCCGCGGTCAGGCCTGCATTCCTTAAAGTGGGTTCTGGGGGCTGAAGGGGGTTTAGGGCCTCAGGGGTTCTAAAGTTTGGGTTAGGGGTGTAGGCTTTTAGGGCTGCGGCTGCTGGCGCCAGGTACAAAACAAAGTTGCCATGTACTGTTATTTCTTAGCATTACTTCTCTGCAGCAGCGGAGAATTTTTTGGCCTGCTGCCTTCCTTAAATGGCTCCCTCTCCGGAATTGAGCCCTAATTCTCCGTTACCCGTTATGAAGAATACTCCATAAACTCCGCCTCACGAAAACCCTCAAGCCCGTTAGCCCCTGAAGCCTTGAACACCTGAGCCCCTAGACATGAAACCCCTAAACTTCCATCTCCCTGGCCCCCATTTGTCACGTTGCAGTGTAGCCCAAACGCGTCCAAAGTTTACTCGGCCACACATGTGCATGCGTAGACACCGGAGGGGAACGTGTACATGTACTTGTTCTTCTTCACAAAGCGGATCTTGCATTTGCGACACTGCATGTGGTCTCCGTCCACCATCAAGTCATGGCGGAAACCCGTCTCGTTGCTTGCCACGCGCAGCCGCTTCTTGGCCGACTTTTTGGAAGAGCTCTCAGGAGTCGAAGCGGATTGCCCGGATGGTTGCTGCCGAGAGTCCTGCGCCAGGCCCAGGCATTTGGTCATGACCAGCCCAACAGGAAGCCGCATTGACTTCCAAGCCACGCCATTGATCGACGCGGTGCCTCGGGCTTCTCCACCAAGGGCGCTCCAAAGCGTTGGCACGGGGTAGTCAAAGACTCGGCGAAGCTCCTGGCTGCTGGCCATGGCTGGGCACAGAGGCCAGCAGCCCTGCTTAGAGCAGGCTCGCAACATAATCTTCTCCTCAATCGTATGCTGACTGATGAGCGTCAGGATGGTGCATGCCCGATGCTGGCCAGGACGCCAAATGCGTCCAGAGGCCTGGCGGTCAATGGCAGGGTTCCACCCGGGCTCACACATGATGAGCCAATTCGCGCCAACCAAGTTTACTCCCGCTCCTCCTGCCTCTTTGGCCAGGAGGAACACCTTCCATTTGGCCTCTGTGTTGAAAGAGTCGATGTTCGCCATCCTCGAAGAAGCTGTTGTGGAGCCATCAATTCTAAGGACGTTCCAGTCCTGTTCTGCTGCAAACTGCTGCACTGAGTCCAACATGGCCAACCTGCCACTCACCACAACCACCTTGTCCTGTTCTTCCATGCTCTGGATCAAGTCCCTGAGCCATTCCAGCTTGCTCGAAGTCCGGCCAGCGAGGACCTCTTGCAGCTCATGCATGCGCTTGAAGGCTGCAGCAGAGGCACCTGTGAACGGCTGGGCCAGCACTTGGCGGTATCGCTGATCCTCGTCCGGTCGAAGCGGTATGAAGACCCATTGCTCTGTCTTCGGCGGCAGCTCCTCGCGGTGGCACTCGTCCTCCCATGCGAGAATATATTGATCTGTCACTTTCTCGAGCTCCTTCATGTCGCGGGCCGACCTATCGAAGTCAGCATGGCGACCACCCTCGATGTCCGCTATGAGACGACGTGCCAAGACCAGGTCTTCTGCCGCTGGGACAGCACATGCCAAGAGCGTTGCAAGCTCGGCCAGGCTGTTGTTCACGGGTGTGGCAGTCAGTAAGAGTCTTCGTGGTACGTTGCACGCAGTAAAGTTCTTGTGCATGCTGGTTTCTTGGTGCCGCAAACAATGGGCCTCATCTAATACCACTATGCCTACGCCGGAGAAAAAGTCACGGACCTCTTCGGCTTGCAGTCCTTGGGCTGGAAGCACCAGTCGACGGTATTGGGAAAACAAAAGCCAAAACAAAAAATGTTCCAAATGATTCCAGTGCAACCATAGAACGCGAAACCTTGCTAGCGCTTTCAATGCGAAGCCAGTGCTTCCAGTCCGGAGTCAGCCAACGGTCTGCCTCGCGAGTCCAGCCTGCCAGCACGCTCTTCGGGGCCAGGACCAAGCACTGGACCCCCAAAAGCTCCTGTGGGTTTAGGGTTTAGGTTTTGGGTTTTTCTTCATATTTCTTGAACTACCCATGTCGGCATGGCTCACAGGCGAGCGGGTCAGGGCTTAGGGTCCTAGCAGCAAGCAGCACCTAAACCCTAAACCCTAAACCCTAAACCCCTAAACCCTAAACCGTAAACCCTAAACCCTAAACCCTAAACCCAGGCAGTACTTGACAGGATTGCTTCTGCTTGTAAGTGCAAGAAGCATGTATTTGCTGCACAATCTCCTGAAGGAAGGCAAGGGAGCAGAGAGCCTGAGCGGTTTTCCCGAGGCCCATCGAGTCGGCCAACAGTGCTCCTGGAGCGGTTGCCGCCAGAAGTCGGCCACAAATCCAGCGGATGCCAGCCCGTTGGTGCGGGCGCAAGGCAGCAGGCATCTTCTTGTCCATCAGGGCAGCGCACTGCGCCAGCCTGTCCTCGCCCTCGCCACCGTGCGCCAGTGCAAGGTCCTTGTCCGGCTGTTGCATGGCAGCCTCCTAGCCCTCGCCACCGTCAGCCATTACCACGCCCTCGTCCGGTTCTTGCAGGCGGGCAAGCACCGTGTCCAGTGCCTTCCAGGCACAGTAAGTACTCGTCAGGTTTATGGGGAGTCAACACCCTCAACCCCAGACCCTCAGCCTCAAACCCTAAACCCTTGGGAACAAAAGAAAAGGAAAGAACAGAACGGAACGATGCCTGGCCAGCCGACAGCAGGTCGCTTTCCACGCTGTCCTGATCCAAGCCCTCACCTGCGGCCTCCCGACGCTCTAGGCATCGCAGGCAGTGAAGCATGCTGCCGCAGCTGGCATGAGAGACTGCTTTAGGACCGGAACCAGACGACGAACGAGATGCATCCTCCGTTCGGGCAGGCAAAGTCTTCTTTGCCAGCACTGTATTCTGCAGGCTGATCCAGCGCTGGCCTGCACGTGATGCATCGTACTGGACTGCCTCCATGAACTTGCAAGGCCTGGCTAGCTCCCAGGCAAAGAGCCTGGGTTTGGAATCGAACACGCACAGATCCTGCACTTGGTGCTTGTCCCTCTGCTGTTCCAGGTCGTCACGGGAAACCTCGTGCACTGCAACCAGTTCCACTGAGCCAAGGCAGCGACCTTTCTTGCACAAGCCAAAGCGGCCCCGGAAGGAGGCGTCCGTCGATCGTATCTCCCATGTCTTAACGCCGGACAGGACTAGCTGTATCCAGCAAAGATCCATGATCAGGCCCTTCTCAGGCACGTTAATTGCCTCCAAGGAAGCAGACAGGGAAAGAGCAGACACAAAGCCCTCTTGTGGTTTATAAAGTCTGGGGATTAGGGTTTAGGAGACAGGCCTCAGCCCGAGGGTCTTGCATCTCCTGGTCCGCGGCAAGCGAGAGAGGAGCCATCGCCTCGACAGCAGAGCTCTGGCACCAATCCCAAACACCAACCCTAGGCCCGAAAGCTGACACCAAAGCTGAAACCCTCAAAGTTGTGGATTGTAGGGTCCAGAGTCTATAGGGTCTAGGGTTTAGGACGGAAGCGTCAGCCTGAGGCTGCTCCACATCCTCAACAGCCGAGCTCTCGCATGGAGACGCAGGAGGAGAGGAAGGCGGCCTCGTTCGCCGAGGCGGCGTGCGGTAGCTAGATGCCGGATAAGTGCGCCGAACGCCCGCAAGAAGTCGGTCCTGCGCATGTTAGGAATGGCGGCCCCGAACCCTAAGGCCTAAACCCTAAACCCCAAACCCTAAACCCTAAACCCTGAACCCTAAACCCTAAACCCTACACCCTAAACCCGCCCGGGGCCGTCGAGCAGCGCGAACGCACCAAGCCGGCAGGCGAGCAGAGGCGTCGAGCCAGACCCAGCCCAAACCTTGCACCCGTAGGCACGGCTCCATCGGAAGCCGCACGGACCAGTTCAACTCGTTCGAGGATTGGTGGCTTGGACCACAACCCAAACCTTGCAGCAGCTTGGTGCAGACAGGTTGCAAGAAGAGGTAAGAGAACAAGAGCGCGATCAGAATTCAAGGAAACCCTAAACCCGGCAAGGTCGAGGTGAGGGTGGAGCGCCAGCGGGGGTGGGATCATGCGGCTCAGGGCGCGCGCCTGGGTGCCTTCAGCACCAGCGCGCCCCCTCGATGGGACACCCTAAACCCTAAACCCTGAACTGTGTGTGTGAAGCCTTGACTTTAAGTTCTGTTGTCCTCTGCAGACCACAAGCGCTGCACGTGGCGAACCATCGCCCGGGCTCAGGGTAGGTTTATGTAACAGCCATAGCTCACACGGCGGAAGAGACATGATGCAATCTACTGGGAAAGCCGAGCTCGTTACCTTATAGGATCCTAATTATAAAATGGGTTAAACCCCAAAAAGGAACTACAATGGAGCCTCATCATCAGCATAATCACCTGCTTGCAGCGTCCAACGGGCTAGATGCTGTTGCAAGGCTGAACCATGCTGAACCTAACCAGGTCACAGGCTGCCTCCACAGCGGGCGGCCATCCGAGCATGTGCAGGACCATGGATCCTGCAAGGAGAGCCGTCAACAGTAAAGGCAGAAACAACTGCACTTGGAGAGACAGGAGGATTCCCGGAGAAGAGAGACCCCTTTTCGCAGATCACATGCGCGGAACTGCTTGTCCAGCATTCCGGAGAATGTTGAATGCACGCGCGCAGCAAGCTGGATGGAGAGAGACACCATGGACTGGACGATCAGCAAAGCACTTTGTGGCTTATGTGGCGCTTCTAGACACGTGCACAGACTGGGTTCAACCTTCGTGGTTTGCTCAGTCCAGCTTACTGCCGTACCCCAAAAGCACATTGGCGTGACCGAAAATCAAAGACTGCGCATTGCAGGTCTTCAGATGCGGGCGGCGTTTGCACACCCCTCAAGATGCGCCGCTGAAAAGCCTTTCCAATGTGGCACTGCTCGCTGGCATGGCCAGTGTAGCACGAGCCACGCTGGCCAGGCACGGCAGGAACGTTTGATTGCAGCGCCAGAACTCGAGCGGACTAGCGTGCAGGTCCTGCTTGGCCGGCAACTTCTGCCATGTATCCAGCTCAGCATCCACAGTCTTTTCGATCTGGAAGACAGCCTTTTGCAGAGAAGCAGCACTGGCGGAAGCCGCTTCTTTCACCGGGTCCCCAAACAAAAACTCATCTGAACTGGACTGCGGCTTGAGGCACCGCAATGGCTTCGCCGCTTCCTTGGCGGCGGGCGTCGCCGGCGTCTTCTTACGACGCTTGGGCTTGGCATGCACAAGCGACTCCAGAACTTGTTCGTCGGGGTGTTCGGCTAAAGCTTGTCGCAGTTCTGGAAATGACTTGTAAAGATCCAAGGCCAAGGTACGGCAAACCTTCCTGGCGGCCCGTTGGTCGAGGCTCGGGTGAGACTTGAATCTTGGGTCGAGCCAGGAGGCCGCCAACAGCAGATTTTCTCCTGCAGTGCCCTGAAGGTGCCTCGCCTTGACAGTGTTCAAATCTTCACGCAAGAACTTCTGGAGCTCTGCCGCCAAAGGCACGGTGATGTCGACTTCAGTCGCAAGACCATGTAGGTCCTTGGGAAGACTGAACCTGGTCTTGGCAAGGGCCGCACCGACTGAGTGCCACGTCGGCACACACATGGATCCGAGCGCTTTCTCGTCAAGCAGCTTGGTGCCATGTTTGATTGGCTGGAGGAGCGCACACAGCTCCAATCCCAAGCGGATGTCCTCCTCCCCAAAGCCCGGCGGTGCCTTCGTCTTGTGAACGTGCCTGCTCGCCACATGGCCACGGTTGTTCACCAGCACGGATGTTAGGGACGTCAAAGAGCTGGACCAGCGAGCGGGCGTCTCCGAAGCGTATGCCTTGCAGACTATGTTGGTAGACTTGCAATCATTTTGCAAGGTCACAAAATCATCAGAGTTGTGCTTGTAGTGGGAAACGACGGCACGCATCTTCTTGAAAAAGGGCTTCAGCGACGTCTGAAGCTTGACAGCGGCAGGATCCCGTTTCCTGCCCCGAGCCCTTGCAGGTTCATCATCAGCGGCAGGATCCTGTTTCCTGCCCCGAGCCCTGGCAGGTTCGTCCTCTTCGGAAGAAGCACAGGAACCGTCATCGCTCGAGGAGTCACTGCTGGACGAGCTAGAAACCGAAGCGGCCTGCCTGGTTTTCAACGGCGGGAGAAAATGCTTGACCGTCAATTGGAGCGCATGGCAACCGCATCCCACAAGTGGAAGTCCCATCAGCCGAAACCCACGGCGTATCGACCCTTCGTGGTCGGAGACAGCACAAACCAAATGTTTTGCTGAGAGCTGGTTGTCCTCCAAGACTTTGAGGAACACTGCCTAGCATTCGCCATTGCGCGGAGGTCGCGTCTCCTCGACCCCGACGCATACCTCTTCGTAAGACCACGCCTTGGAAAGCCATTGTAGATAGATAGCGACGTAGGAGCGTCGCACGCGCATCTTGGGTTTCCAAGAATCTGCAGAGATGACGAAGAGAGCCCCGTCTTGCTTCGCTTGGCATAGGGTCTGCTGCACCTCCTTTCGAATGTCCTGGAGGTGGGAAAGTAATTAAACAAAAATCATCCCTATCAGGCCCCCGAAGAAATTCCAAGTATTGGCAACGCGGGCCTTGACAACAACGTCCACCTCTGCAGCCAGGCGGGTCTTGTTGGGAAGACCAGGTAAGCGACTTGCAAGCACATCTCGGAAATTTTCGTCGGATATCGAGGACAGCGGTTGAAGTGCTGCCAAGCATATCCGAAGGGCCCAATCCTGGGTGAGTTTGGCATCGATCTTTGGCGGGGCGCTTTCACTGTCCTCTGCCTCTCGCTTCCTGCGCAGCTGGGTGTCTTGCGGCACAAGCGTGCTGTGCTTGGATCTCATATGGTTGATCATCGCTGATGGAGAAGAGTCGTGCCAAATGCAACCATCGTAATGGCGGCCCGGGTAAAATCCTCTTCGCATCAGCTCAGCGACATCATGAGCAGGCGGCTCGCCATGAGGCCAGCACTCCCTGCAAAAACGATACAGCTTGCATTCCGGCCGCTTTGGATAAAAATGCTGGTGGACCCAGCTTGGTGCCATTGGATCAAAGCGCTCTTTGCCTACGCATGTGAGTACATTCGCACACAGGTGACAACATGCGCAACATGCAACGGTCTCATCTCTCGTTCGGACGATGCTTACAAAAAACAGTCCACTTCTGCACTGGCTAAATCTTCAAGGTGATGCAAGAAAGCGCAAGCACATATGGCCGAAAGAAGATTTCACACAGGTTGGCTGCTTGCAATCATGGACTGCCACTCCTGTCTGCCTGCAGAGTGGCTACTGCTTGCTCTATTGGTAGAAATGAAAACGCCATGAACAGAGCGGTCCTGCGAAGCAGCCCGCCGTTGGACGAAGGTCGTGGTGGTCAAGGTCGTGGTGGTCAAGGTCGTGGTCGAGGTCGTGGTGGTCGTGGTGGTGGTGGTGGTGGTGGTGGTGGTGGTGGTGGTGGTGGCGCTGGTGCTGGTGGTGGTGGTGGTGGTGGAGGTGGTGGTGGTGGTGGTGGTGGTGGTGGTGGTGGTGGTGGTGAGGTGTTTTCTGGGGCGCAGGTCGCAGGAGTTGTCGCGTACAGTGGCTGGGTTCAGGGGGTTAGGGTTAAGTTGGGGCGGTGGTGGCGGCGGCCGGGGGTGGTGGTGNNTGCTGGTGCTGCTGCTGGCGCTGCTGGTGGTGGTGGTGCTGCTTGCTGGTGCTGGTGCTGGTGCTGCTGCTGCTGCTGGTGCTGGTGCTGGTGCTGCTGCTGCTGCTTGCTGCTGCTGCTGCTGGTGCTGGTGCTGGTGCTGGTGCTGGTGCTGGTGCTGGTGCTGCTCCTGCTACTGCTGCTGCTGCTGCTGCTGCTGGTGCTGCTGCTACTGCTGCTGCTGCTGCTGCTGGTGCCTGCGCCGGTGCTGGTGCTGGCGCTGGTGCTGGGTGGTTGGTGCTGGTGCTGGTGCTGGTGCTGGTGCTGGTGCTGGTGCTGGTGTTGGTGCTGGTGCTGGTGCTGGTGCTGTGCTGGTGCTGGTGCTGCTCCTCTAGGGGGCTGGGGAGGGGG